ATAGTCCTGTAGGTCCTTTTCCATGCTGCTTGTGGTATGTAGGCTCAAGGATACCCAAAGCCACTGGATATGAAATCATGAGTCTTGCGGTTGCCTACAATTCTGTGTGTATTACATGTTTTCCCTCTGAATCATGATAAAAATTCTTGCCTCTAAGAATGAGCTGTGACATCTTCTTAAAAGGTAGGATCCACGTGCTGTCCATCTGGCCATTTTTACAGTAACTTTCTTCTTCTTAGAGTTGCTCTCTTTATAGTTTGATCAATTCCACCATAACTTTTTTTTTTATTTTTGTTTTATTTTTCTGTGTAGCCCAGCTGGCTTCAAGCTCATGGCAATCACTCTACATCAGCATCCCAAGTGCAGGGATTACAGGACTGTGACACCACACCTATAACTACCAGGATGTCTGATTTGAGTAGTCAGGGCAAATGAACCTATGATAACTAGACCTCTAACATCAGTCAAAGGGCCACCTTGTATCCTCTGGGCCCTACCATTCTTCAGCTGTTGCTAGGGCAACCAATATTATAACTTCTGCCTTGTGCAGAGATTCCTAGTTTCCTATGCTTGGACTCCTCATATGTGGGACCAGCGACTGTTGTAGGAATCCCCAGGACCTGAGCACATAAAACTTGGAAGTGCACAGGGGTTTGTAAGACTCAGGGCAAATTTAGGCTCATGAGGACGGAGGCTGGAGGCCAATTTCAGATGATCCCTTTAGGTTCCAGCCCAGCTGACCATTGTGATGACCAACAAGGAATATATCTTCACAATAGCTTCTCTGATGCAGCCTTTCATCCCACTCTTATCTTTGGTGTTATTTTCAAAATTAAAATACGTACACGCAGGCCTTTGCCTCCAACTGTGTTTTTGGAAAGAGCTTAGGGGATCCAGGTTAGTTAGATGATTGAACTGATGGACATTCACCAGGTTGGGTCAGTATTGCTATAGAATGTACTACATTTCGAATGGAACTGTTTCTTGATTCATCCATTAGAGAAAGAATGTGGTGGCTGTGGGAAATGCCCTGAAACTGGGAGTATGGATTAAAATTTTTCCAATAATTACTTTTGTGACCCAACCTATACCATTCAGCCATCAGTGCCTGATCTGCAAAATGGAAGAGATGAAGTGGATGTTGTCATCTCCAACGTGCCTTCCAGTTCCATAATTGTTCACTGGTGAAATATAAGCACCTAGGTAACTATGTACACAGTAACTGTTTCTCCCTCATTAACCCTAGGGATTGTTTGGACTGAAAATACAGCCATACTTTAATACAACTTTAGACCAGCCCACGGATCAGTCCCCTGGAGGTCTAGATTAGAGAATGAGCTATTCAGAACCTCAAAAACAATAATGCTGACGGAAGGAGGCAAGGCACTTCTGTGGGAGTCAGCAAACATTAGCAGAGGCTGCAGCGTCAAGATAAGAGCAGAGTAATGAGGGAAGGACTGGCAACCAACTTCCCTGACTGCATCCCAGCAGCACTTAGTGATTCGTCACATCTCTAGCAGAGCTTGATAAATGGACACCAACAGCTGAGGGTGGCTTCCCTCCCACTTTTGTCCCTTTAGGAGTTACTTGGAAACTTGGTTTAGAAAATGCTTCTATTTTGAGAAATATAACACAAGATCTTGCAAAGTGCCAGGGGAAAAAAAAAAGCAACATAACATGGATTTTTTTCATAAATCCCAAATCTAGGAGCATCAGTCTAGAGAGAGATGGGAGGCCATGATAGTGAAGGCAGCCCGAGGGCCACAGAACACGTGGAATAAGTAGATTGTAAAGCAATGAGGTTGCTGTCACCACCACTCGTAAAATGTAAAGCATGGTATCATCATTCCATGTATGAAGGAAGGCATCTCAGAGGAGAGCAACGCTTTTGATGGCACAGAGCTAGTTAGCAACAGAGGCCGAATCTTTTAAGACATGCATTTTTTATTTACTTCAGACAATTTTGTTGGGCTGGGGAGACAGTAAAGTACCTTATCACACAAACATGGGAAGGCAAGTTCAGTCCCCAGGCTCCATGTTACTAAGTTAGGTATGGTGGGCACACTTGTAAGCCTGAAGCCCTTTGTGTGTGCGCACGTGTGCGTGCGCACGCGTGCGCGCGCACACACACGCAGCATATACGATACTTTACTTTTTTTTTTTTTTTTTTACATTTATGTGTGTGTGCATGCACACATTGTGGAGGTCAGAGCACAACCTCAAAAAGTTCTTTGTTTTAGCATCTGGATTCTGGAGATCAAACCCACGTAGTCAGTTACAGCATCAAGTATCTGAGCCATCTCATTGGTGCTACATGCACACTTCTGTATTTGTCAGATGGAAAGCAGGCATACGGCTGACAAATCTAAGAGCTCAAAACAGCATGCAAAACAAGTGCATCTGTTGCCGTTAGCCTTTTGCCTGAACCCTCTTACCCCCAAAGCTTTCATTCATTCTTTTAACCACCATGCTTTCATTTTCAAGAGCTTTTTTTCTTCATGCTGCCTTCTGTTATTTCTTAAAGCAACCTATTATTGTTTAATGGATACAGCCCCTGACTTCTTCAAGGGTATTAATAACTGGTTTTTCTCTATGGTACTTTTTTTTTCTTTTCCATTTTGGTCTCTGTTTTTCATTAGAGATACATTAAACCTCTCTGATCTTTGGTTGACTGTTTGTGTGTCACTGTCATCTAGAGAGAGAGAGAGAGAGAGAGAGAGAGAGAGCGCCTTGGTCTATCTCATTGAACCCTTGTTCCATTCTTTCATTCTCTCACATGTCAGTTGTGGCTACTCATGTCAGTTGTGGTGTGCCCTCTTCTTTATATTTAACCCTTTGAAGACATTACAGATCATTAGAATTCCAAGGAGGAGAGAGAACTTTCAAGACACTGGGCTTAACAGGGATGACAGAATGAATTTAAGTTCAGGCCAATAACACTCAAGACTTTACGCCTTCCACTATCCCATGCAATAATCCATACAGTGAAATTCAGTAATAAATGCCTGTGGCACGACCTGTCCATTGTCTACACCAATATCCCTTCTTCCTTTCTCCATTGTTAATATAACTTCTAGAACTTCTTCTAGAAGAAGGAAATTTTCCTTCCTCAACATTCTTTGATGCTAGATATAGCCACAAAACCAAATTCTGAGTAGTGAAATGTAACTGGAAGTATTACGTGGCAGCTTCCAGAACACCTTGGAAGATGGCCTGAGTTACTTCCCGCCCACTTCTTTGTCCTGTCTTCTTGTTGGCTTGAAGGAGGGCGGCAGCACTGGAACATGAGCAACTATCTCTGACTAACAGGTGGAAACTAACATCATAGGAAGACAGAAGAAATCCGGTTTATGAGGACCTCTTCCACTAACATCATAGGAAGACAGAAGAAATCCGGTTTATGAGGACCTCTTCCACTAACATCATAGGAAGACAGAAGAAATCCGGTTTATGAGGACCTCTTCCACTAACATCATAGGAAGACAGAAGAAATCCGGTTTATGAGGACCTCTTCCACTAACATCATAGGAAGACAGAAGAAATCCGGTTTATGAGGACCTCTTCCACTAACATCATAGGAAGACAGAAGAAATCCGGTTTATGAGGACCTCATTTATACCACCAGCAGACTGTGGGTCTCTGTACTTCTTTTATGCGATGGAGACATTGTTGCTTTGGGTTTTCTATTTCCTACCATTGAACCTAATTAAAATTGATGCAGTGTCAATGGTACAGTAAGACTTGAAAGGGAAAGTGATAGAAAAGACAAAACCTAAAGGATGGGTCAGTTCAGACAGAGCATGAGTGGGGATAGGATTCTATATAGGGATGATGATATGATTGTGGAATAGGGACATGGCATTGTTTCAAAGGATAGTATGTAGTCAGGTATGGCCAATGCAGACAGATACTATAGGTGAGAAATGAAAGCTAATATTGCAAAGGAAAAAGGGGGGGCAGAGAAATGGCTCCATGGTTAAGAATGCACTATTCATGCAGAAGACCCGAGTTAGGTTTCCAGCACCCGTAGTGGCTCACAACTACGTGTAACTCCAGGTCTAGAGACTCTGACATCCTCGTCTAGTCTCCAGGGATACATCACTCATGTGCATAAGCCCCTCCCTCATATTAAACATAAATTAAACATAAAATCCTTCTAAAAATGGAAAATATAGAGGAGGCAATAAGGAAGGATTTTGACAGTCAAGCTACATTTAAGGTTTCCTTGAAGGATGGGTGGATGGGAGGCAGGGATAAGTATCTACAATGCAGGGAATTAGCATGAAGCATTTCAGATCCCCCCCCCCACACCTGCAGGTAACCTATGTCAGGGTAATAGAGGCAGGTCAGGAAGACAATCTCAGTAGGGAGAGAGAGAGCAGAGCATAGGTTACAGGACATGCAAATGATGAGGGATTAGAAATCTACAGAGGATTTGGAAACGGAGAAAGAAATATTCCTGAGTGTTGGAGAAGCAAAGAGTAGAAACTAACAGTGACACACCAGTAAGCCTTTATGTCAAGAAAGCTAGAAAAGTTCAGAAGTCTTTGGCGAGCACTGACCGAATAATTTTGGTAGAAATGGCGGCAGACTCCATGTTCAAAGCATGAACTGGGGAGACGGACAAGGAACACAGGCTAAAGTTTCTAATCAAACTTCCATCCATGAATATTGTTCATCATCACCATCAACACCATTACAGAGATAGAAAATACCTGGAAACAGCCGTTGGAGGCAGTATATGAAATAACCTGACCAGCACTTAGCCTCAGAGTCCTGAGATCCAGGGAAGGCTCATCAATCATAAGAAAGACTTCAAACTCATCACCATAGCCCCGAGTCCTTGGAGTGTACACACCATCTTAATGAGCTTCATTTAGACTAGGGAAGCTCTGAGAGCAATGCTGGAAGAATAGGCAACATCCAGTGTGGACCCAGAGATTAATTAAAGGCGGAAGGTTAGTACCCATTTGTTAAACAGACTAAGTTCCAATACCTACTCAAAGTACAGCGTGAGGTCTGTGGCTAGTATCGACTGCTTCAGAAGCTGCATGAGGTCACTGTATTCCTTGGAGGACAAATTAGCAAAGATGTTGTGACCCTGTAGTAAGAAGGTAGAAAGTCACAAAATGCACCATTAAACTTCATGTTTTCCCTACACTTTTAAAAAAAGATCAGAACATGAACAAAATTTAAAGTTTAGTAAAAGTTTTTTTTATAGATTCATTTTTATTTTGTGTGTCTGTGTGTGTGTGTGTGTGTGTGTGTGTGCATGTAAGTGTATACAGGTGCCCACTGGGACTAGACGAGGGCATCAGATCCTCGGAAGCTGGAGATCCAGGTGGTTGTGAGGCACCTGACTCAGGTGCTGGAGACAGAACTCAGGTCCTCTGGAAGAGTAACAAATGCTCTTAAATGTGAGCCCTCCCCTTCTCTCCAGCCCAAAGCTTAACAAAACTTTTACAAATACAAACAGACATCCTGGCAAATAACAAAGCCAGAAAGTGAATTGCTTCAGGGGAGGTCCACTGAGGAACACTGTACAATCTTTTCAGTGTGGATAGGAACTCTGAAAATGTGTGAACTTGTGCTATTATGTTGATACACAGTGAAGAAGTGGGCTAAACATTTGGGGATCTTTCTGATCCCAGGGAAATACTGCTTCTACTAATAATGATTTAGCTGGCATTCTAGAAACACTCACTATGGTGACAAGTGACTTTGAGGAAGAGCAAAGGTCATTAGACTATTGTGTCTCAATGTGGGAAATTTAGATAGTGGAAGTCTGGGAGCAAACAGAGACATTTTGGATGGTCATGACTGGCTGGGACACTACTGACCTTTAATACTTTTAATGGGAGAGGTCAGAGATATAGTTAAACAGCCTTCAGTGCACAGGAGATGCCACTCAAAGATCTCTCTCCCTGCTGAAGTGAGGAGCTCTGCTTTGCTAAAGCATATGCTGGATTAAATGCCCACCACTGGGTAACTACTGAACAGCTAGGATGAAGAAGCCACTGTCTGCATGTAGAGGGACTCTAATGATGGTGTCTATCAAACAAAGGCTGCAATACAGCTTTGCCTCCGTGCTACCGGAGAGCATCCTCTAGAAGAAGAAGACTCAGTTGGCAGCCCCACTGCTTGCTGTTAGTAAGGTGGGAAACCCTTCAGCGACGTGACCATCATTTGCTTCATGTACTCACCAAGTCAGAACTTCTTTAGTTTGCTGTCTTAGCATGAAATATGAACTCATAAGCATGTGGCCTGGGGACTGGATCAATTTGAACCTAGGACTGAGAGCCAGAAGATGGCAGGGAAGTAAAGGGGCCAACGACTTCTCAGGAATAAACTATTCTCCATGAGAGGTAAATTAATTTTTTTCCAGGGAACCAGAATACCAATTAGCAATTCCATTTTAATCATAAGCCAGGTGATAATCTGCTTTGCTTGAGCTGATTTATCTCCTTGGGTGAACTCTCCCCTCCTGACTGCAGGCTCCACCTGGGACCAGGTCCAATGTTAATAGTAATTTTCAAGTGTACTCTTCCAGACCTTTAATTCAGCGGTGAAGAGGACAAAGAATTCAAGGGAACCTGAACCATGATTTTCTCCAGGGTGTTTTCTTTCTATTTAGCCTGAGCATTACCTCATGCGGACAGTTGCAAGCAGGTATTCTGGAATCTGGGAAAAAGAAGTTTATAGCCTTTGGGAAAATGGTCATCTGGATTCAGCAACACATCCAGCATCACCCCGTGGAAGCCTTAGCAGAAAGTCTGAATAGAAGTTTGCATTCAGACGAGAGAAGTCACCAGCACTTGAGGGGGCTGGTCATTCTGTCACATGCTTCTTACTGCTTTTAAAGGGCATGGTAAATAGTACTGTTTTTGGGGAATACAAATCCAGCCAAATCAGCTCTAACATGTAAAAGACAGTTTGCATCAGTACATTACTGAATATTCAAATTGGCCTTGAACACCACCTCAAGGTTTGACCCTCAAATGGAAATGAGTCTCTCACAAATGCTATGAGAGACTAGGTTTAGGGAACCAGAGAATATGGCACATGTGGGAAATCCAGGTGAAGAGAAAGAAAGGCCTGAGGCAAACTTTTTCAAGCCCTCTAACCTCTGCACATCTGTGTAAACTGGAAAGTGTGACAGGGGTGACATCTGTCTTCTTGGTGGCAAAATGGAGTGGACATGGGGCCTGGGGTTCATCGCCTGCTTCCATTTTCACTGGTTATTATCACTCAGAAGAAACTGGAGTGGAGGCTGACCAAATGTGTCATGTTTAGAGGACATGGCCTAAGGGAGCTGGGCTGTTTATGATACCAATGGTGACAAAAGGCGGCTCTGCTTGCTAGCAGAGAAAAAACAAGCCAAACAAAAGCATTGGCTCCTCCATAGCTCTCAGCTAACATGTGGCTTTCATATTCCAAAACCATAGATGACAGGAAGTTGTCTCCATCAGTTTCCAAGGCCCTTACTTAGGAGCTTTACTCCTAAATAAAACACAGCACCTCTGGCTGGCTGCCCTGCCCTAGCCCACATTCAGGCTCTGGAGTGGTGGGTCTCTGTTATGAGGCTTTGGTGATATTATAAAAGATATGCTTCCTCAAGATAGTCTAGAGAAAAAAAAAGAGCCTCCATATTTAATGATGCCATTCCAGTGAAGCAGGGCCTTAATGACGATAATAATAATAATTAATGGCATAGCCAGAGAGCTGACAAATAACAGGGGACAGATGATTCCTTTCTGCACCCTCCCCCCCAAAAGAGGTCTGTATGACTTCAGAAAATTAAATAGATTCCTCCTGGCAAGTTAAAAACTCAAACTAAGCTGCTGCAGCCAGAGTCAGTTAGTTGTTTCTGTTTTTCTGTGCTGAAAGAGACAAGTCAACACTCCAGTGCCTTCTGAGTTCTGAGTTGCTGCAGGAAGCAGAATAAGGCATATGGCTTTAGCTCCTGTCTTGGTGTTAGTAGCTGTCTCTCAGTTTCAAATGCAGTCCTACCAAGATATTCAGTTCTTTCATCTTTTTTTTTTTTTTTTCGTCTCAATTTCACTATCAAAGCTTGACTCTTACTGTTTCTGCCATCTCTTTCCATGGTGTTGGGTTTCATAAAATGGGCAAGTTAGACCACTCTAACTTCCTGCATCCTTCAAGGAAGATTCAAGGAAAACAAGATGATGCCTTGGCCATAAGCAACCTCCACCTGGTACTGTGTAAGTGATTCTGCAAAACCTCCAGCAGAGCCAGGTTAGCCATCCCGGGAAGGCCTGGAACGAGGTCTTTGGCATGTGATGGGTTCACAAAAGGAGCCAGGGGCTGAGCTAGCTTAAACACGGCCTCCTACGTCTCTGGATTCATACATGGCTCAGCATTGAATGGGGATCACTTAGTTGGCCTTCTGTTGAGGGGAAACGTGGAGCAGGTCTCACCTCACTCTGAAGGATCATCACCGCATGGTTAAAATGGTGATGCTCCAAGGTTGCTGATGTCCCGTAGAGCTGAGCCAGTGCAGAGTCACTCCTGAAAGAGAACATAAGGCTGAGTAGACAGGACCCTTTACCTTAACCATTTCCCACACCAGCTCTTTGGATCATACTGCTTTTGGCGGTGAACCAAAAGCTTTCTAGGTAATTGCTGTGGAGTTTGTTCATCTCTTAAACAAACTTTTCAAGAACTTTCTACATGTCAGGCTGAATGCTGTGGATGGTACATGGTTAACAAGGCACAGTCCTTGTCTTTAAGTCATTAAAGGCTGGTGAATGACAAGATGTGATTCTGAGCAAAAGTAAAATAGGTGGCAACAGTATAGATGCCAAGTGCTGTGTGTGTGTGTGTGTGTGTGTGTGTGTGTGTGTGTGTGCGCGCGCGCGCACGTGCGTGCTCAGGCTCATGTGTGCGTGTGCATGTGTGTTATAATTTTTGCCTCTGTGATCCACATAGGCATCATGAACTAAGCCTTCGACATCTAAGCATGCACAGAAACTCTTTCCTATCAGATGTGCCTGACTCTCCACTGGAAAAGACTTGGAGAACATTCTGTAGTCTTCATTATCTACTCTACATACATTTAACAACTTTCTGTTAGTGTCTCTTCACCTGCAAGGACCACTACCATATCTTAGTGTAGAAGACCAGAGAATTCTGTGGACCTGAAGGCACGGCTCTTCCTTCAGGAAGCCGCCTGGGTCAATCACTTGACTTTCGGGCTCAGTTTCTTTGCCTCTTAAATCATGTCACTACTGTCTGCCTCATCTGTTGTTATGAGGCTAAAATAAAATGCTTGAAAGCGCCTGTCATAGTGCCATATAGGGAGTAGATAGGAGTCTATATTAAGTATTAATAGATAATTAAAACACACATGGACATTTCCATTTTAAAGGAACACAGTGTTCACTGATACCTGAGGGGATCCTTAGATTGTCTGTAAATTTCACTTATGTAGAACAGCTCATCCCCCAGCAATGCCAGTTCAGTGAAGTATTTATTTTAGAGTAGTGTTTCAACAGTTCACCTCCAACTGTTTCTTTGGAATTGGAGTTCAAGCATGTTAGGGGCCAAGAGAAACCCGGGGAATCAAAGAGCCATTTAGGAGTCAGTTGAGGATCCATCCAGGCCCAGTGTTCTTTGCTGGCTTACTGCAGGGAGCCTGTGGGTGTTGGGAGGACAGTTTGGCTTTAACTTGCAAATAATGGAGAATGACATCTTGTTACTGATCCTGCCAGTGAGATAATAAAAGGCTACTCCTATACACAAGAAGGATTCCCATCCCAAGATGCCTTGCATCTCTAGTGTGAGGCAATCCAAGGCCACCATCACTTTCAGGGGTACAGAGGACCTGTGATCCTTGGAGAGACTCAGAGCTACTGCATCCTGGGGTAACAACAAGATTAGGTTGAGGACAGCTTGCAATTAAGAGGGTTAACGAAGGAAGGAACTAGATTTTAATCAGGTATGTGTTATTTCCTTAAGTCTTGCCTAAGCTTATTACATCATCTAATAAGTTGACAGAGTTCAGGCTAATTTTACCAGTGGGTTAATATTTAATGTCAGTTGTCATTTAGCATTATATGGAATGCATTTCCATGACAAATGCACACAACATGACTTTGACTTGGATGTTGAGCTTCTGTGTGCTTGGGATGGAGTAGGTGCTTAAAAATTATTTGCTCCTGGTGCTGTGTGGAGAGCTTATAGATAAACTAGGGGGCTAACTATAATATATGTGTCAGCATATTTTATAATATTTATACATTACATATAATTCTATACATCTATTTATTTATATTTTATATGTATTTAAAAACGTGTGCAATATATTTTAAAATACATGTGTAACATATTTTATAATGGTTACTGCTAATAATAACCACCATCAGTAAGTGCCTAACACGTACTAGGAATCACATTAAGCCACTTCATGTACTGATATTTTTTCACTGCATAAGAGGTAAGCTAGCTAGATGTTCACAAGTCACTTAGTGTTTTCTTCATTCAGGATGTATAAGGGATATTTCCTTTCTCAGGGAGAGGACACGGTAGGAGGCACTCTGATGCTTGCTCTGTTGTGAATTTCCTCCCCATGTTCATGTGGCTTCAGAACTGCTGGGCCCCAGCATGATATTACTGTTAGATTCTTTTCTATAATTGTTCTTTTCTATAATTCCATCTTACACTCATTCAGTATGTAATCAGGTACAGAAAATATGTAAATTTTGAAACTGAACCATACTAATGTGGTTTCACTTCAGGAAGACACTGGGACTCATTCATCCATTCACATAAGCATGAGCACACATACCTAGCATGAACACATGTACCTAGCGTGAATACACATACTTAGCATAAATACACGTACCTATCATTAATGTAGCCAACAAGCACTGGCAACTATTATTTTGTCAGGTCCCTGGCATTTGAAATATAGATGTGTAATTCATGGATCCTACCTTCAGGAAGCTCACACTCTTAGATTTCTGTAGAATGCTTTCTCTGACCAGTCTTATACTAAAATCCTCAGGTTCTTTTAGGTAAGGAATCAGCTTAGCGTTCAGAGAATGGAGCTGGCGCTAGCTGCAGTGAAGTCACTGAAGAAATACTTCTGTTTTACACGGAACCCTGATGTTTACTATTGTATGTGCTTCCTACCGGTGTTTCTAAGACTTTCAAACCTCCTCGCAATGCCTTCTTTCCTGGCCAAGGCTCACCGGGAATTCTGTCTATGTTCCTACATACTTACATGGATGTCCTAGGAATACTGAGAGCAAAAGTCAGTTTAAAAACAGAAAATAACTGTAGTGGCAGAAATTAAACCCATGTGTCAGGATAAACTTTGTCAATAAACATTCTATAGACTATTACTAACTTCAAATGCCAAAAGACAAGTTAAAGTAAAAAGGGTTCCAGTATCAAATAACTCAGTGAAATGCTGGCTTTAAAAGTTCAAACTACTCATTCCCTAGTGGAATTGATATGTAAACACATGCATGCCCTGTGGTTCTACAGGGAGGGGCATTATATTCAGTCTTATGTACCCTTAACTGTTCGTAACGCCGGTTCTAAAGAGCTCACGTCTTTCATGTAAAACACTGTATGGATATATACTCTTCTTAAATGAAAAAAGAAAATCTTCCATCAATCATATGAGAAGACTGACTTTAATGCTGCCTCTCATTTCGATTATCTGTGATAAATATATCCATCATATGAATGGCTTTGGGCACATACCCCATAGCTCTGGAAATATGACCATATATATTTATATGCATCCATGTGTGTATACGGGGTGTATGGGAAGAGGGGGAGAGGAAGCTGGTAATTCACACATGTGAGTATCCTGATGTGCCTTGTTACTCGGATCAACCCAAATACTAAAGTCTTTCATTTTTAGACTCACACTACCCAGCGCACAAATGTACTGAAATGTAAAAGGGAGAATTCTGTTTCTACAGACATCATTGCTTCATGTAGACACCCAAAGTCAGTGCACACCAAAGCACACCCCTGCCTCACATCCTGGATATGCATATTCTTCGAGGAAAAGAGCTAATGGCTGTGTGTAGCCATGGCTTCGAGGAAACTTTAAAAAGGCAAACTATGAAAGGTAATTAGGAAGCTGGGAATTGCTGGGAGGTGGCGAGGAATGGGATTAGGCTGTCAGGGCAGATTAATGTGCCCCAGTATTTCACTTCTGGGACCTGGCCGAAAGCGACAAGATGGGTTTTCATTCCCAAGAAATGAGTGTAAGAGATTATGCTAGAAATGAATAGAAGGAATCTCCTAGGAGAATATACTACAAAGCTGTGCCGTACTGATATTTAATCATCAGGGGCAGCTGTAATAGAGAGGGGGATGAGCGGGCACTGCTGTCCCTGGAGAAAAGAGAGGAGAGCAATTTCAGAGCACTGTGGTATTGGTGGCCTTGCTACCTATTGATCATCCACTGCACGCTCTCCAATACTTAAAAATTAAGGATAAAATATGAAAATGCAAAGGTCCACTTATCAGAAAGGCTAAGAGTATAAATCAAATTGTGCTCCAAAGTCACACTTTTTTATTGTAGAGGCATTTTGCATTTTATATAGCAATTTGTCCCTTGCTAAAAGTCTCCTTTTTTTTTAATAGCCTATATGACAAAAAGGTAGCCTATGCATTGCCACATAATAGCTGTAGTGTATAAGTTCTGTTGCCAAATCATCTGATTAGATGGATTAGACCTGGCAAAGCTTAAGAAAAGGGTTTGTCTTCTGCACATCCTACTCCTCCCAGAATGCTTAGCACAAGGCCTTAAACACAGAAAACTCTCCATTGTTGAAGAATGAAGGAGGATCAAAGGTTACAGGCTTCTTCCTAGGGATTTTCAACAATGGTACACTCACTGGGTAAATCTTATTCTAATCACTAAAGGAGTGTGTTAAAAGTCTCTCTGGCATTCACTGTAAAAATGGGATCTTAACTGAGGGCAAGCTGACAGACAGTAAGTGGTGTAAACCCGTGTGACTGACTTCATTGGGAACTAGCAGGGCTGATGGGCATGTACGAGCTGGGAAACTGGGTGCAAGATGACTTGGTTTGAGCAAACCCTCTGCTCCATCTTAGGGCATGGAGAGTTGATAGTGGGGCTGGAGGATACAAATAAGTCTGGTGTCAGGGACTTACTGCTTACCTAATATCTGTGAAAGCTGTTCAGCCCTGGGCAGCTGACCTGAGATTTAGGAGCTTTCACTTCCAGTTTTGCAAGATTAAGACATTGAAAGATATAACTGCAGAGGTTCAGCTCAGTTCCACAAGCTCTGCATTTTGAGTTGCTGCCTGTCAGGGTCTATTTTAGTTTTCTAAAGCTTATCTGGTAAGATGGCCAACAAACTGAAAGTTCAATGTCAATAGTCCAAGACAGACGTTACAAAGTCAAGGATAACACTGGTGCAGTAGTTAAAGAATGATCTTGGAATCAGAGATCCTAGGTCCAATTGCCATTTACACTACACTTGGGGGGATGAATTTAGACAAGCTGTAAAATGGAGACAAAACTATCTGCAGAAGATAAGGCAGGGGCTTGGCGGCAGAGTGAAAGGACAAATGATCGTTTTTCTTGTCTCAGGGACTGCTATTTGCAAGAAACAAAAATGAAGAACAATGAGCTTCATCAGGAAAAGTCTTGATTAAATGACACAGAAACCCTGACTGGGTCATGAGAATGGCTGAGTGCCCCAGAAGTAGGAAAAGTAATGTGGACAGACTGGCTCGATGTCTGACTTTTTTTTTTTTTTTTTCATTCTCAGTCTCCTTCTGACGTCTCTCTAACTGCTGTCTTCCTCCCCTACTTCTTTCTGTAGACTGTCCTTTCTGTTTCTCTCGTCCCCTTGTATGTAGTCATCACAGGTTCTCCTGACAGCAGTCCCGAGCCTGCAAGAAGGCTCAGCTCTCCACCGCTGACTGATGCAATGCCATGGGCACACACAGCAATGTCCTATTGGTCCAGCTTTGATTAGGGGTGGGCTCTCGGTCTAATCTGCTGAGGGACCGATGTTGAGAAGAGCTTCTCTATTCAGTGTGATGCACAAGCTGGCTGGGTAGAGTCAGTAGTGTTCTGGTAGATCATGCCATTGTTCATGTCACTCTTCAAAAGAACACACAGGAGTTCACTCCTGCTTTACAGACACAATTCTAACCAGTTAGTTCTTTTTTGCATTGTTAGTAATATGGTGGGGGGTCCTGGGGGAAATACACTGACAGTATACAATGGCATGGACAAGAGGAATCTTGAAAAACAAGGACATTTAAACCAACTTTAAATAAGGAGCTGTCAAAAGGGCTACATATATGGTTTGCACAATAATAGGCTTTAAACTTTTGCGACAGTATCAAACCCATGCATTTTAAGGCTGTTTCATCATCTGCTTTTGTAAAAGCCCACATTTAATAATAAAATAAAAAAATAATAATAAGTATCCAGAAACTCTGTTGAGAAGGTTTATTAAAGTGCAACCCACCCAGTCACTACTCAGTCATTCAGCAAACACTTTCTGTGTGTTTATTATGCTCCAGGCACTGCTGGGGCACAGTCTTACAGAAGGAGAGGGGATACACCTGGAAGTCAGCAATTAAAACGGAGGCAGGTGGATACATTTGAAAAGACATCGCCAGGGCATCGTGAATGCATGCAGCGAAGACAAGGGAGTGTATGTGGGTAGAGCCCTGGAAGTGATGTGTTCAGAGGAGCTGTGGGGAAAGGCACAGAAGGGCATTTTCTGGAGTGGGAATCAGCACAATAGACACCAGAAAGAGGTGAGCTATCAGGGCCTCACTGAGAGCAAGTCTCTTCTGTATGGGATGAATGGATGGCCTAGTCAGCGCTAAGCCAGAAAAATGAGCCAGGGTCCGATTTAAAGGAGCCTTACAGGGCTAAATGAAGGAATATGAATATCCAAGATTCACAGGAGGCCCGAAGATGAAGAGGAGAGTGACATAAACACCTTTGTGCATGAGAAAGGATTTTCCCAGAGTGCCAATCCGGCACGAGGGGGAGCTGAGCTTGTTATTGCAGCATCAGGAGAGCAACAAGGAAGCAGAGGTTGGTCCAAGAGTGTAGAGAAGGGGTTGGCTTTGCTGAGATGCCACTGAGGCTGCTGAGTAACTTGCACATTCATGGGCATAGAGAGAGAAAAGGGGACATGAATAAAGGGAAGACTGAGAATGGGAAGAGTCTGGGACTTGAAGTTGGAGGCACTTCCAACAGTTAGTAGGAGTGTCTGGAGGTAAGCAATTATGACTTACAGCCCTGAGAAATGCAGCCAGGGTTCAGGACTGGGTGGCTGGAGGCTCTTGTACAAATAGCCAAGAGAGCAGGAGGAGGGCGGGGACACAAGGAAAGAGGCCTTGAGGCAAACCGAGGAGGAAGGCTATACAGGTAGATAAATATCTTTTGTGAGAAAAAAACATGAAGAGAAGTTTAGGAAGGAGGCAGTAAGAAAATACGGCCCAAGGAAAGCAGGGTCAAGAACAGAGGGCATGAACAGCTTTTTTAGTGAGATGGGATCGAAAGCCCTGGGCAAAGGCAGGGGTTGGAGGAAGCAAAGACAACCAACACAGACACTTTTACAAAAAGCTTGCCTAGGAAGGAAGAAAGGAAGGAAGGAAGGAAGGAGACAGAACAGTCACTAAAAACCAAATGGGAGGTGCAGGTGTATTTTCAAGATGGGGCAGAATTTTTCATGATAATTAGATGCACAGAGAGCACCCATCGTCAGGGAGATGTGGATACAGGACAGAGGAGAGATTGCTGGAGAAGGGTCCTGGGGGAGAGAGGCGAGAAAGATCCAGAGCAGAGGCAGAGGGATTGTCCTCAGCCATGGGAAAGACAGCATTTTCATTGAGATAGGAGGGGAGGAGAGGGAGGAAGAGATAAGTGTGTGGGTGGCAGGGGAGGAAATTGAGAGCATTCTCGATTGATGGTCTCAATTTTCTCAGTGAAGTAGGAGGCAAGGTGATCCTTAGAGTGGTGTGGGGAGGCGGTGCAACTTGGGAAAATGGAACACTAGTGGTACCTAACTGCCAAGAGCAATGCAGGCTGAGCTGCTGGAGTATGGAGAAATATTGACGTGAAGTTCTGAGCATGAGGGGATGCCCGTCTGTCGTGTCTCAAGCTTGCACAACTGTGATATTTTCTGCCAGGGCTTTGACAAGTCTAGGCAGAGTAGCAAGAGACTGTATTGTTGAACTGAACCAAGGCTGCGTTTTTGCAGGCCTGGGATGTCACAGAAGTTTAAGAGGGTCAAGGAAGTATTGGATTCTGGGTATTGAGGGGAGGCACTTGAAATAGGGGGTTAGAGGATGAAGGATGGAGAGAAGGACACAAGATCAAAACGGTTTGCCAGACCAGATCAAGATGTCAAGGTCTGGCTAAGGGAGTGTTCAAGCAATTGGTTACCACACAGTGGGTTGGTGGAGTTTCATCTAGCAGAGGTCTACCTGTTTGAGAACCTTGAAATCTGTCCCACCCCTTTGTAGAAGCTGTTCTTCCTGTTCTCTCCCCATCCACAACATTTCCCCAGGGCTTCTGACCATTTTCTTAGCGGATAGCTAGTTCAAAGAGCGTTAAGACTTGACCTCACGGCCAGAGTCCTGACATCTGGAATTTAACACGTGTAAGTTCTGTTGCCCTGGCCACAATGTGAGCCACCAAGCAGTGGCTTTCTTGTCCAGTATAACTTGTTTGGGAACAGATTGGTCTATCCACGTGACTTATGTGCAGGGTGAACAGTTCCTTACCCGTCACGTATGTTTATGTGGTGCCTTTGTCTGTTTTCCATCTTTGCATGGGAATAAGGATGGGAAGAGAAAAAACACTCTTGGCTTCATTAATCTTCCTGAGCCTGTTTTTATTCTAATTATCCCAAACCCAGATTTGAGAGTAGCAGGTCTGGGCAGCTTGTCATGCCAGGGAGGCAAATGGGCAGAGAGGAAAAGAATAGGACTTTGAAAACCTGAGCTGTGCTCTCTGACTGAGGTCAGCAGAGACAGCCCAAATCAACAAGCATGACATGAAGGGCAAATTTGCAATTAAAAGAAGAATAGGGAATTATAAAGATGGATGGGCCCCATGACATGCATGCCCAAGCCTGCGCGTGGCCTTGGCCTCTGATGCCAGAAATTAATGCTTTACTCTTTAGCACTCGCCACCTTTGGCTCTGAATAAAAAGGCAAACGCATTAAAAATCACAACAATTAGAACACTTACTTAGCTTGGAAGGCGTTGTTGGTTCCCCTGTGGTCGAGGTCATGACACAGGCATCCCACAATCACTGCTAAAATTTCCACCTCCGTCAGAATCTCTTGAAACCCAGCAGTCTGGGAAGAAGGGGACAATTGCAAGTCAGTGCCAGCGGCAGGGGCACTGGGAAAGCTCAGTCAGCTGAGCCGCAGTCGTCTGGTTTCATGCCCACACCATTTAAGGAAATGATTAACTGTCACCCTCTTAGATGACAGTGTGTTGAGTGGTCAGTTGCTCAGCCTAAGGTCCCCAAAGTGAGGGACTCACTTGCTGTCACACCGGGACAGTGTTCAGTGTGCTCCATTCCCTTCTTTGTAGAGGAGGTTGTGTTCTCCACACTGGCAGTTTGGGAAAGGCCCAGAGTAAAGTGAGTTTCTCCATTGGACACAATATGATAAGCATTGCATTTGGAAGTAGGGGGAAATGAGGGGACCTTCAAAACTGAAAAGTGCTAGCCCCTCACTGCTACTCATATGAGAGCCAGCAAACACAATAAAACCTTCCTTTATAGTAAATGGAAGAGCAGAGAAGTACTCATATTGCTGCATGACGAAGTTCTAGAAATATCTTACAAATCCCTTAATCCATATTGAGTTGGCAGATTAAAACGCACACAGGTAAATCCTACAAACTGGGGTTTGGCAGAGGAGTAGACAACCAGAACTGAGAATCAAGGGAAGAATACGTGATTTCGAGGGCTTTGTTTCTGATCCCAGTATCTGTTGGAAGTACATGGCTGGGGTGTGATTCCTCCTGGAGGCAGTTGGATATCATTATGGGCACAAGAACAGCACCAGTTGCAACTGGCCCTTTCATTAGTTTGGAGGAGGAAATACAGCTTTGGGAGAAAGACCTGTGCATCCTCTCCATCTGAAGGCCTTACAGCCCCCACACCCCACAGGGTAAGTCTCTGGCTCCACTACTTATTAAATTCTTTATCAGAGGGTAGGAGGAGGGGAGTCAGCTTGAAATTACTTTCCAGGTATGTTTCTTCTCCACGAATCTTGGATCACGGACTAATATCTGTAAGATTCTTTTAGGGCAATGAAAACCTTGTTTGTTTTTTTTTTTCAATTAGTTGTGGTTTTTAATATAGAAATAACTAAGTGATAAATTCCTGTATTGACCATTTTATTTCTAAAAAATGACTTGGTTCCTTGGCTAGATCTGAAAAAACATATGACATCACTTATACAACAAATGGGAATGTTAATAAGTTGTTTGAGGCTATGAAGTAGTCCTTGCCAAAGCTTGCATGCACCTTCATCTTAAAACTGGTTGAATATGAGTCTTTGTTTATTTTATTACCTGTAGTAGTTTTCTTAAACCATACTAAGAAACCTAAAGCCAGAACTCTGTAGTCCCTTATTGTTCATATTTCATGATTCCTAAAGGCAACCAAATTCATTTGTTTAATAAATTGGTGACATTTTTACCATATTGCTACACAATACCTATACATTTTAGCATTCGATTATTCACCAAGCACTTACTATGTCACTATAAATTCCCCTAAGAGTTTTCAACTGCATAACCTACTTAATATTTTTTAACAGTCCTATGAGACAATAGTTATGATTATCCTGATACGGATGGGGAAATCAAGTCACAGAGAGGCTCCATCCTGTGTCTAAGAGCTCACAGCTAGTGCTGGGCAGAGAGGAGGACACTCCCACACCCCTCCTCAATGTACTTTGAAACATTGATGGTATAGTGGCAGATGAGAGGTGACGATCCCCACACTTCTCCTCCATCCCCAAGAAACCTGTGTGTTCCTAATGATCACCCTATAAATACTGCCCAGCCGGTGAATACACAATGACTATTTTCTTAAATACTTTCATCTCCTGGAGTTCAGATTTCTTTGACACAGCTATGCCTTTCTATATCCTACATGATTTTATTAAATGTCTATTAAGTAACTGTGAAGAGAATCAAGCATCTCACATGTCTTATGTGATCTCTTTCGTCCTGGAGGTAGCTAGGTCTGGCTTGTCCCCTCTTGGGGCTTTTGCTTTCCCCTCCTGAGGATGATATCTTACGTCTTGTATCCTAGGCCTTCCTCAATTTCTGCCTCATTTTGCAGAACCACATCTGTCAGTCTTCATAAGAGAGCACGCCCATTTCTCAGGTAGTCAGTTCTGAGGCTACGGGATCGGGATGCGGGTGGGGAGGACGTTGTTCTATTTTCACACTCAGCTTTTGGTTTGCCTAACAATTTTGGGAACATATAATTCCTCCCAGAATCCTTAAAGACTGACTACTTTGTCTAGTTTGTAAAGTTGATTTTTGGAAGAGTATGCCATTCTTATTCTCATGGTTTGCGGGTTAGTTGGTTTGTTCCCTTCTGAGCCTCCTTCTCATTCACAGAGTTCAGTGATTTCACAAAGACACAGTTAATTAGTTCAGGGTTTTCTTATCATTCTGTTTACATTGCAATCTAATCTGCAGATTCTATTTCTCCAGCACAGTGTTCCTCAAATCTTTTTGCTGTTTTTCCTCAGTATATTTTTTATTATATTTACTTGTTTATTTAATTTTTACATGTGTACAGGTGTGCCGTGGAGTGACTGTGGAGGTCACTTTGCTCCCTTTTTCTACTGTGTGGATACAGTGGACTGAACCCAAGTTTTTAGACTCTGCCACAGGTGTCTTTCCTTGCTGAGCTAGCTCACTGGCCCTTCAATATTTTTTTCCTGTCCTATATGAGTGCAACTCCAATAGGTTGAGTACCAAGTCTATTATTTTTTGAAGATATTTTCTCTTCTGTTTCCTGTATAGAATATTCTCCTTTCTTTCTAGGAGTTTTAAATTTATAAGCATTTTTTTCTGCTCCTTTTTATAACCCCATCTATTCTTCTCCCTTAGACTTGTCAACTCTTTTCCTACCCTCCTGAAGAAATTAATAACATTTCTGATGTTTTCTTCTGTTGCTTTGAATTGCCTGTGTCCTCTAGGCCCCTTCTCAAATGTCTTTCGATGATTATCCATGTGTAGACATGAAGGGATCTGAAGCTCACCCTGCACCAGGGTGGGTGCGAGGTGCCCACAGGTTGCCAGGCATTGCCACAGGGTGACCAAGTTTCTAGCTGGTCTTTTGCTAGAGATTCCCAAGCACCAGATCTAAGCTCATGTCTCTGGATTCTCCAGTCTGTTGCCTAGAATGTCAGTGTGGACACAGGAACAAAACGGAGCCATGGCTCTCCATCCCGGGGACCGTAGGCTCTCATAGGACCTCTACTCTGCATATCTTGTCCTCTTGCCGGGATCCTCAAGGATGGTGCTTCCCCCCCTCTCCAGCAAATACTCTGGCATGGGGACTTGGGGACTCAGCATTTCATTGTCACCCCACTGTACTGTGTTTTGTGACCTCTGAAGTCTCTGCTTCCCAAGCTCTGTCAGGTCCAGGGAACTGTTCTTATGTATGCCCTTTTCCCTCCACCCTGAATGCAGAGGGCTGGACCTTGTTCTTTATTGCCGAGTTATAAACTATCATTCTCTCTTTACTTCACGTTTTGTCACTGAGTTTTTACACAGTAACCTTTTACTTTCCCCTTCTCTTGAAACTCCTCACTTGGCTCTACAATTATTTATATCACGAATACTTTTGAGAATTTAATGAGATACATGAATTCCTCTTTCTATAAAATCTTATGATTTCATAGGACTCCAAGGCTATGCAGCTCATCTCCGGACCCTCAGAATAAAGAATCCTTGAAGTTCAACATAGACATGGCCGCACCAGGCATATTTACCTCTCCTGACTCTGGCGCCTGAATTACTGAAGCAGCACCTAGCTCTTGACTGTGATTTAAAGCTGCCTGGTAAATGGTTTCTGAGAATCATCAGGCCTGAAAAGTGTCCACCTGCCACTAAGTTTCTATTTGCTCCTCCCCACCCTCATCCATCTTCCTTCAGTGCCTTCCATTCACACCTACATTTACCCATATCGAGCAGAAAAAGGCAGCTGCCTGCTGAAGATAATATACTTTCAAAAAGAAAACAGAGAGGCAGGGGGAGTATGTCTTGATGTATTTATTTCTTGACTCTATCTTATTACTTTATTTTCAAATAAAATTATGTCTCTCTCCAATAATTATGAGTTTTCTTGACCTTTGTGCTAATAAATCTTCTCACTTGCATTCTCTCATCATATATATCAGAAACACAAGCAAAAAAAAAAAATACAATATGTCTAAGTAAGGGGACAATCAGGTGCATACATCTAATCCTCAAGTCACCTGTTAAGAAAATCCATGTTATTGCCTTTTGACCTGGCCTCCAAGGGCAGCTTTTGAAGGGGCTGACATGTTTTCTGGGATAATTCTTCCCCTACCTCCTACAGAAGACTTTAAAATACCCAAATCAGTAAGATTCCTCCTCAGGTTCTGCTTGGCCACCAGTGAGTTTCTGTCAGTAGCCAACAAAAGAATCTAAGACAGTTGGGACAGGTCTTCATTGTGAAGCCGAGTCTGCACAGCAGTGACAGAAAGTGACTATCAGGATGTGGTTGAATTCCAACAGTTGCAAAACATAGCAGCTGTAGCATCAACCCTAGGTGATGCTGTAGAGGAGTTTTTCATTTAATGGCCTTTACTAGGTACTTGCTATGTATCAAGCAATTGGTATGTTTGAGAAAACAGGCTTGGGAAATATTAACAGTGATTAATACTATCATAGTGCTCAGTGCCTGCCAAGCAGTCTTCCTCTTCCTCCTCTTCCTCGTCCTCCTCCTCCTTCTCCTCTTCTTCTTTGGTTTTTCTAGACAGGGTTTCTCTGTGTTTGGAAGCTGTCCTGGAACTAGCTCTTGTAGACCAGGCTGGTCTCGAACTCACAGAGATCTGCCTACCTCTGCCTCTCGAGTGCTGGGACTAAATGCGTGGCCACCACCACCCTGCTTCCAAACACTCTTCTAAATATGTCAGTTTCATGAATCCTTACAAGAACCCTCTAGGTATGTGCTATTCTTATTTTCCTATCTAATAGGACAGATGACAGATGACTTATCTGAAATAGAGGTGGGATTAGAACCCAGGCCACCTGGTCCATGAAACCCTTCTATCTTAAGAGTACAGGA